AAAGTAGCTTACTTCAGATAGATGGGTTAACATTTAACATCTCACCATTTGCTTTCCTTTCGGGCCCATCTTTTAACTACTTTTTATTGTTTTCTACTTTCTTTGGGATTGTTCTTCCTGTCTGTGTTTTATTTGGTGGTGGTGGCTGTTTATGGTATGATTAAAGACATATATGTGTATATATATATATATGTATATATATATATGTATATATATCAATCATATATATAATGAAATCCTGGATAGGTAAACCTACAGAGACAGTAACTAGATAAATCATTTCTTGAGGTTATGGTTGGGGAGGATGGGAGGAAATAGGGAGCTAATAGTCATGGATACAAGAATTAAAAAGTGGGGGAAAGAAAAAAGAAGAGGCTGGAGGGTGGTGTAAGAGAGCAAGATTGGCACAAACAGCAACCTATAAAGGGGTGTGGCCGTCCACGAATCACGTGGCACGGGAGTGGTGGGACCATGTCCTTGAGCGACAAGTCAGACATCAGGGACGAGGCTAGCGGGAATGTGTCCTTCTGCCTCTGCTCTGGCCAAATAACAGAGCTAGAAATCCGCCCCTGCTGCAGACAGAGACACTGAGTCCCTGAGCCCCTGGGACAAAGGCATTCCAGGATCCAGGCATTTTATTTCTTAGAGCTCACTGCGGTATCGCTTCTTTTCAAGAAAGAGAAAACAGAGGGCCCTCGATGGACCCAAGCTCATCTAGCTGATCTGGGAGCTACCGTGAGTTCGACAAAGACTTGCTCTCCGTCCGTGCGGATCCCAAAAACCCCCACTTTACAGATATGAACACTGACAGTGGGAGATCAAGTGGCCCAGCACATCAGTGTCCCCATCTCAGGTCTAGTCTGATCCCAAATACGCATTGTGCTCCTGACCCCATGTCGGGCAGGAGAGGGTGTTCCATTCCACGCTAAAAGGCATTTCACAAAACTCAAATCCTGCGAGAGACCAGGCTTCCTGGTCAGATAGAAACCGGTGGGAGCCTCAAGCCAACGGCCTCAGTCACCCTTCAGACCTGAACCGCACCCGGTGGAGCCCTTGGCTCAATTCACAGCCGAGCCACGTACGGGCCTCTAAGGGGGGCTATCACACTGGGGAGGTACGTGCTCCCCAGAATCTTCCCTCATTTGAGGTCGAAAGGGCGACATTGGCTCAGGCCCAGGCCCAGGAGGGTTGTTAGGAAAGCCCGGGGAATGGACAGAGGAAGCCCAGGGAGGAAGTGGGAGGGGGGACGGTACAGCGTGGGGAGGGCCGCCGAGGAGTTGACGCACAACGCGTCTGAAACTGCTGACCGAAAATGACTCTGCTCTGTCAAGCGTGCCCCCCACCCGCACCCCCTCACCACAAAACATTATTAAAAAAGAGAAAGAAAGGCAATGTTCAGAAACCGAAAATAAAGAACTAAAAGGCGTCTTGGTTCCCAGCGCAGCTTCTCTTGGGAAGAGGAAGGTAGGACCGCGGAATCAGCCAGTCACATTCTAGTGAGAATTAGACAACCATCCGGTGCCACCTGGGACGTTGGGCGGGGCCGGCTGGGCGAAGTACCTGCAAAGGCCCTGGAGATGTGCTCCTTTTTCCACTCCCAGGGCTGGTCGTACTCCTCGGCCGGACGCTCATCCTCCTGGGGCAGGCGGCTCTGCAGAGGCTTCTGCCCCCCGGAAAGGGGTTCCTCCCCTGCCTCTTGGTCCTGTTCCTCATAGGGGGTATCATACAGCTGCACTACCCTGCCGGGCAGCTCTGTGGAGCCCAGGACACCGGTCAGCTCCCACGTCACTCTGGGACCCATCACCTCCCTCTAGCCCAGTGGGT